AAACAAAGTTAATTACTCCATTTTACAGTAGCACATGAGAAAATAGTTTTATACCTTTATTAATCAAGAAAGAAAGAAAGCAAACCAGTAGAACAGGGCTCAACTATATATATATATAGTTTTATGCAACAGTTTTGATAAAGGATTACCATATTTTATTATAATCATCCCTGCGTAATCTACATCTTTCAATAAAGCATTCCTAAATGGCGAGCAAAAAGAATGTCTTACCTAATGAAGCCAAGTCAGAGTACTGTCCACTAAGAAGAAACAAGTCAACTGCAACCTGCTGTCCTGAGCAATCCAAGGCCAATTTTTTATAGAAGTCAGTAGATGGTGTCAGAGGAACATCCTGGTAAAAAGGCAAAAAATGCACTTGAAGGGGTGTTTCATTCATGTTCATGCAACCAACAAAGCAATATTCATTAAAGCACTGAAGCAGCTGCATCCTCCCAAAGGTTTAGCACAGCCTTTTTGTGCTAAATTGCCTTCATATGCTTGTGAATGCACTGAAGATGCTTTCACCAGGAATGCTGGGTAAAAGGAAGTTGCAGCTATGTAGACGGTTGAAAAGTGATGCTTTGCTCACAGCCTTACTGTAAGGACAGCATTGTTCAAATGATTTATACTGGCTATTACCCAATATTAAAAAAATGCTAGTAATGTTCAAACAATTGCAAGGATTTTGTTACAAAATGACTTGCGTCTAGGCTTTCTAGTAGTCAATCAAAATTGAAAATGGCCATTTAGGCATTAGGTTCAATAGCCTGTTCAGTATAGCAAATGAAATTAAATCATCCATAAGAAGCCAATACCTATATTCAACCTGTAGAGACATTCAAGAATTAAGTTTGGTATAGTGGTTAAGATATCAAACTAGAACCCAGGAGACTGAGAGTTCTAGTCCTGCTTGAGGCACAAAGTCAGTTGGATGACTTTGAGCCAATCACTCTCTCAGCCCTAGGAAGTCGGCAATGGCAAGCCAATTCTGAAATCTTGCCAAGAAAACTACAGGGATTTGTCCAATCTCCAGAGTAAATACTGACTTGAAGGGTATACATGTACACCCCAAAAAAGTTGACCACCTGTCTAGAAATAAATTCTACAGTTGAACTGCTCTACTTTTAGCAAGTTTTCTAATATGCAGTCAGGCTCTGCCTCCCTGTAAATTAAATCTGTAATTCTTGTAGCGATACAGAACATGTTCTGCGCATTATCTTTTCAGATATGTGAATAATGGTATTATATCTTCCCTTAGTTTTCTTTCCTCAGGGCTAAATATGCCTATGCCTTCAAATGTATCTTCATACAACAGTTTCTGCTCTGCTGATCATTCTCATTGCCATGTTTTGAACCTGTTCCAGTCTCTCTGAATCTTTCTTAAATTATAGTACTCAGAATACTATCCAGAACTCAATGCTAAATCTGACCAAAGCAGAATAAAGGAGAACTATAGCTTCCTGTGGTTTAGAAGATATTCGTCTGTTGAAAAATTTGCATTTTTGCAGCCCCACTGCAGACTAGAACTATTTTTAAAAAGAACTGTTAAAATAAAAAATAAATTTTAAGAGTCACTCAAAAATCAGGCATAAAAGTTTGTTTTGCTAACCTTTGTGGATGCTTTTTGGTTAGGCTCTTCCCGTGGTTTGAGTGCACCTGCTCCTAAAGATGGAAGCTGAGTTTGGAAGACAGTAATCCGACCCCCAGTAGGTGACATAAGTTTAAAGGCAGCCTGTAGTGCAGGTCCCAAAGCACTTTGGGTTTCCAAAGATTTAATAAACATCTGAGGCAAAGTTCTCAATAAATCTTGAATCAACTGAAAGAAATCAAATTTCCATCTTTTTATTTACTATATTTATCCATTTTTATATTATCCAATATTTGAAGTTCACACTGCAGCTTAAAAAAATAAAACTTAAAATAAAAACAATAGTAGAACTAAGGGAAAATTTTTTGTCTGGTGTTAAAAATTTATGTGCCAATGTACCACCATTGGAATACCATCCACTTTCAGGGTTTCTCCAACGAGGAGACCTTAAATTAATCACTCAGTGGTTGTTTATTTTGTTTATTTATTAAAGAACTTGTAGCAGTAGCATCTCATCTGATAAAACAACTGAAAGCTTCAAAAGTTTATTTGAGGTTCCAAGCTTATCAGTATAATAACTGATCAGATGCTTAGTGCTTTAAAAGTTAGTTATACAGTACAGCGGATGAGAGTGTAGGTTACACAAATGAACCATAAGATCAGTAGTTGCCCTCTGACTGTACCAATCTGGTGTAGATAACTCAGGTCCAGTCTTGTCCAATTATCTGGGAAGATTTTGTTTAGGTGGCTCTTGAAAAGTGGACTGGAATCACTCTTCAGACTGCTGGATGCCATTTGTCCCATTATTAGGTATCAAACATTTTAACTGAAGTTATTTTGTTCCTCAGGCCAAAATATGTTTTAGATTTATTACATGGAACAGGCAAAATAATATTTCAAAGTCAATTGCTTAAAATATACTTTTGCTTATACTTACAATGTATAATATTCCTCTTACCTCTTTGCTTTCGTTTAAATTTACTAATAAGTTTTCCGGCATGGGTATAAACACATCTACAAGATAGAAAACAAAGTATTTATTATTTATTTTATCATTGGATTTAATGATTGTTCAGTTATGATAGCCTTGGAGAAGCTGTTTTACAGCCCATAAAGCACTTCCACCCATGATAAAACATCATGATAAAACATCAAGATTTCTCCGTCTCCACAGTCACATGACTGTATTTCAGGTGCTTGGCAACTGATTGTAGTGGTTTGGGAGAATAGATTTGCTTAATGACTGGCATAAAAAGAGTAAAAAATGGCTTCAGTAATGTGGGTGCCACAATTTACAACTGCAACAACTTATAGCTAAAATTCCAATCCCAATTGCAGTTATAAGTCGAGGACTACCTTAATACTTCCACCTATTTTTTCCACAACACAATCCTTTGAGGTGAGTTAGACTAAGAGTGATGAGCCCAGTCTTTTAATCACAGCTTTTAATCACAGCTACCTGTGATTAAAACTCAAGAGTACCCCATTTAGACTTCAAAAGCCCCCCGAAGGTGAGATCCATATCCACCCTTCTGATATTCAGAAAGGGCCTAAAGCCCTTCCTCTATCAAATGGCCTAGTACCCCAATGGGGGCAATCTTTCTGGACATGGTTAACGGACTACGACCCCATCTTCCACCCACATGCATGTTGCTTCCTATCGCCCTAATTTAATTTTACTATTTATTAATTTAATGTTTTTTATTGGTTTTTAATGATTAGTCGTCTCCAGGCGAAGTAGGCAGCATATAAACTGAATGAATAAAGTAAAATAAATAAATAAATAATCTGGATTTGAAAAAAAATACTGAGGAAAAGCGACCTTTTAAATTTCTCTCTCTCTCTCTCTCTCTCTCTCTCTCTCTCTCTCTCACACACACACACACACACACACACACACACACACACACACCAGAATAAATCTAAGAGGCTAAAACCTCTACATTATCCCAAATACAAACTACTACAGTCCTGAGAGATCTACAAACTACAGAAATGATAGTATTTATTTCCTGGACCTATAGCCAGAAAGTGATAAATTGAAAAGAAAAAAACAAAACAAGTCTTGAAAGTTGTGTGTGAAGTGCTTTGCTTCTTTGACATTACCTATAATGGAAGTGTGAGAAGACAGAATTTGTAAGTGAAGTAAGAGGTAACCCTAAAACACCTATAGCAAATGAGACAACTATCATAGGGCTACTTCTCCAGATAGCTAGTCTGTGTGTATGAAAGAAAATCTGCAATGGAAAATTTTAAATCCTTGGGGGGGGTTTGCAAAACAAAAATTGAAAACAGGAAAGACCCTGTTTTTCTTGAAGACTGACACGCAGTCTTCAACACTAATGACTGAGGCATATTCTAAGGAGTGTTTTTCTAGCTGTGTCTTTGATTAGAGGACATTTGCTCTTTTTCCTTTCTTGCTCTCCTAGCTTACAGTATGACTGACAATCATCTTTAATAGCAAAGTACCAAGACTTGTTATTTAACTGTTTTTCTTCTTCTTTGAAAACAGAAAATGTGTTGAATTAATGTTCCAATTTAGGAGTATACGACAGAAGTCATAAAACATATTTCATAAATTTAGTATTCGAGATTATTTCTTCTTACCTTCAATATCTGAAATGATTAACATTTGAGGCTGTGAGAGACCTTCCTGGAGGCTATAGAAATGGATTGTGCTGTCAAATGTTATGAAGCCTATTTTTGTTCTAGTGTTCCCTGGGAGTCTGAAAATGAAGCAGAGAAATTGAGCACCAGGCATTAAATATATAAAGTGTGCTCATTTAAGTTGAACTTATATATTTTCATAAAACAACATTTCATGTAACATGTTAAATGTAAGTAAATAAATGATTCTTCCATGAACAGCTATAAAGCTCACATTCAGATGGGTTCATTAATAAGTTTCAAAGTAGTGGAATAGAACTTTATGGTGACAATAAAATGACAAAAAATGGAAAGACAAGAGAATGACCCAGGGGGGTTATTCTGAAATGGAGAAAAATTCTACCTTCATTACAGAAAAAGACATTTTGTTTCTTACAAACATTGCAACATACAGAGTTCCTGAAGCAAATTGTCCTTTCAGATTATGCACACATTTCCTAAAGAATGTACTTCAGTTCAACACAGTTCATCCATTCCTATTCAAAGATGAGCCTCAAATCACGTTGCGAGTTATTCTATCCAGATGAATTATCTGGATTACAGATAATTCTAAAAGGTCCATAAACTTTCATTATTGCAGGTTTGTGTAAATTTATGTTATCTGTATACTGATGTCATCATGCAATGAGCTAAGCTCTTGTGCTATCTTGTTTTTCAATTCAGTAAACATTCCTTAATGATCAATACTCCCTCCTCAAATATTACCATAACTATAATTGTATACATTCTGCATATGTGTACACAGGCATCGACATACTCCAACCCAACTTAATGATATTGTCATGGTGGGCTCAGATTTGAGTCAGAGGAGGGAACAGAAAATGATCAGCCAGAGCCAGCTTCAGAAGTGTTGACAAACAACAAGCAGCCAGTCCAGGTACCACCAGACAGACCGCTGCCTGAGCAAGCAAAGGAGGTAAGTCCAAAGCAGCACACACAGCTGCTGTCACTCTCTGAAGATGGCAGTGCAGAATTACCTCCCCCCTCTCAACACAAGAGCTTGACAGGCTGCAAAGAGCAGAGCAGTGGTGGGCTTCAAAAATTTTTACTAGCAGTTCTGTGGGTGTGGCTTGGTGGGCGTGGCAGGGGAAGGATATTGTAAAATCTCCATTCCCATCCCACTCCAGGGGAAAGATACTGTAAAATCTCCATTCCCTCCCCTATCCAGGGGAAGGTTACTGCAAAATCCCCATTTCCTCCCGATCAGCTGGGACTTGGGAGGCAGAGAATAGATGGAGGGGCCAGTCAGAATTTTTACTACCGGTTCACCGAACTACTCAAAATTTCCGCTACCAGTTCTCCAGAACTGGTCAGAACCTGCTGAAACCCACCTCTGGAGTAGAGCCTTTGTGCTCTGTGAGACTGCTTACACAGAAGAGGTCTCGCCCTCACATGAGCTGCACTGAGGTTGCTTCTATTAAAATGGAGCAGCAAGCACAAGCTGTTCCTTGTCGACAACCACCCTAACTTTTACTTCCTGTGCCTTGACTTATGAATCTTGCAACCCTGACTTTGATCCTAAACTGGCTGATGAATTTGCTACATGCTTTGACCAGTGGACTCCACCTGATACTCTCCTGTGTGTTGCTTTGATTTGGAACACTTGTAAAGCAAAACTGCTGAACTTCGGGGGAGGGAGGACTTTATACTGCAAGGGCATCTGTTTCCAACTCTCATTTAGTAAACAGAACAAAATCACCTCTTTTGTGTGTTCATTTGTTTGTTTGTGCTTGGTCCAGGACCGGACAGATATGAATTTTAAAGGTTACATTGATAGATTGAAAAGATGCAAAGGACTCACAGATCTAAATTGTCCAACAAAGTCTTGCAGACAGTGTCTAAGTATCCTGTTTCTATTGCATTATGTGACACATCAAATACAAAGAGGTACACAGGAGGCTGAGGTGGACGTAGCTGAAAAAATAAGACACAATTATAAACATTTAAATGTCAATCTAGGACCGCTGACTTTTTTACTTGGCTGTAAGGTAGTCTGCATTTTAAATACCGTAAAAATATAATACACATTTACATATTATAATCCATTTTTGATTAATTCTATTGTGAAAATGAGAAATTTTCATTGTAGCAAGTTTACTGAACTCTGCTTTGTAACTTGTTACAAAATGGAAAAAATCATAGTACATACACCACAGTTTTTAAAAAAGTTAGCAAATGGTAGTATACTGGATTCAGTGATTTAGAGGACTGAGAACCACTATGACATAAAAAGATATATTTATTGTAAAGATGCAATACATTAGAGTCTATATTTCTTTCAAATCTTGAACAGTGTGGATGAAGGTTGAAGTGCTGGATTAGAAGCAGAGATCTACGTTTTGGTCCTTCTTAGCTGGTGGAGTCTGAAAGAAGGTAATAACAAACTATTCCCACATTTTTGTCACAGAAACTACATAAACCCATAGACTGACTGAAAAGTGCTTCTCCACTGAAAGATAACTTTTTCTCTGGTGCAATGTAAGATCAATAAGCTTTCCTACAACTACAGTGCATAAGCATCAACAAGTAAGGGAAAATGAAACAACGTTTGAAACAATTGTTTCATAAGCAAGAGCACACTGCTTGACTTTTGTTTTCTTCTACTAATCCTTCACAGGATTAAAATCTTATGTGAAAGGGTACTTTTGGAAGTTTGGAAATTTAAGAGCAATTTTTAATAGAGAAGGAAGCTGCTCATAAAGAATTTGAAAATCCAACCAATTACTTGAAAGCTCTAAGATGTAATGACATTCTCTAAGATGTATGGTACAAATTATAACCAGCCACTTTGTCTCAACTGAAATACTACTTTCTATAATAGCTATGCAAGAATGGATAAAGGTAAAAAAAGAAAAAGAAAAATGTTGAGATATAATAGTTCTGCACAAGTTGTGTTTATTATGACTACACATTGTATAAGGTTGGGAAGAGAGGTCAGGAGGAAGGAGAGAAAGAAAGGTGGGAAGGCAGAATCTCACCATATATTCAGAAGGAGCCATAAACTCAATAGTGGCATTTTGAACTTCCGGTCTTTTATGAGGTTCTCCATAAACTCTTGTCACAGGATTATACATAAACTCTTCAGGAACTATACAGTAGAGGAGGAAAATACACTTTATAAACCAATGTAACTCTCAAGGTTTACAGTATTTTATATAATATTTTTCAGCCTAGTAGTCTTTTAAAGAAATATTTATTCCCATATGTTCAATTACCTAAAAGTAGCTAGAGATTGATGTCATAAATGTATTTTACTGGAATCAAACAGCTTATGTGTACACTTAAGAACTTAACATGAACTCAAATGACTCTTTATTGGATTTAAACTCATAAAAAAACTCACCATCATTCACTCTGTAGCACAAGTTGCATTTCCATCTCCTTTGATCAAGGAAGCTGACAAAAGGATTGATATATGTTCTACAGCTACGACATCTCACAATTGTACTAGAGGTTACTACAGGCAATTGCTGAAAGGAGGAATGTTTAAATCAGTTGTTTAAGAACATTTGTCAACAAGTATAATTTAATTCTTTCTTTTGACAGAGGACTGAATAATGATAATGAAAATAAAAATTGACAGCCTTGACAGGTATGCTTGTAATGGCAATTCTTATTTCAATTTAGTGTTTTTTCCATGAGCTTCTACCGTGTTTCCCTGAAAATAAGACAGGGTCTTATTTTCTTTTGACCCCCGAAATAAACACTTGGCCTTATTTTCGGGGAGGTCTTAATATTTTTGAGGTGCAGGAGGTGATGAGCATGGTCACCTCATGGCTGCTGCTGAAACAACCGCTGGTCAGCTGTTCACCCCTGAGGCTGTGCATGCACTTCCAGCCGTGCTTCCCAGGACTCTGCACCATGCTGTCGGCTCAGCCACGCCGCTGCGACCGGATGTCCTGTCACCACTGTCGCCTCCCTGTTCTTCATGAATGGCTTTTGTGGCAGCCATTAGTGTGACAGTTTGGGCACAGTGGCTAGGGTTGCTGGAGCGGCTGTCAGGTAAGGGTGTGTGGGATCCATGGGGCATGTTCCCCCACTCCGGCCTCGCCTCATCTCCTGTTGTTTGCGCGGCAAGCAACCAGAGGAAATGGCGGGGACCAGCTGCGCATGCATTTAAATATTTTTGGGGGAGGGCTTCTTTTCGGAGGCTTATTTTATTATTTAAGTGCATGCGCTCAAAAGCCTGATTGGGTTTATTATCCAGGGAGGTCTTATTTTCGGGCAAACAGGGTAAATTAAGAGATGGCTTTAAAGTCATGTACCAGTGGGAGACATGGCTTTGCAGTTTTCATACTTGCAGACAACATTGAAATATTCATCTACTGATGAAAACAATCAGGTTTTATTTTGAAAGAAGAAACGAAAAACTGAATGTTTATAAAACATCTTATAATGTTTTAAATTACATCTTATAATGTTATAATTTACTTGGACTTTGACACTTAACATGTTTTAAGTGCAACACACTTAACAATATATGCAGAAGATGAGAACCTATATAAAATGTATGTTGCATTCAAGCAGAGACTTATGTAAAAAAGAAATATATTATGAGGAGACAAGATAGACTGTTTAATTTGTAACAACTGATGTCCCATTTCCCACAAGGTTATTCCCTAGCCTAGTAACTCTTTATTATTTGCAAACACAACCTTCACAGCAGATTAAAATCAGGGAAGAAAAGATACTAAAGATACTCCCAACTTTGATGAAATATTATCTATTGAAATGCCTTAAAAGATAAACTTATATAAAAAACTGAAAGCTTCAATCAACCAATCTTTAGTTCAATCAGTGTAAAGTTTCATCACTGTTGAAGCACTGCACATTCATACATACATATAAATAAATGATATTTAAAATACCGTATGCTGCTGTAACTGGACTCTAAAAAGGCAACTTACACAAAATTTCACTTTTGGTAAAGTCATTTCATTTGAATTTCTTCTAATTTTCAATTTCAATTCCTCTTGACTAAAGGATTTAATTTCTTTAAATAACTTGTAATATGCCCAAATCAATAAACTAAAATTTAGGAGAATCATCCAAAAACAAAACTAGATTTTGGAATTTTTATTTGTAGAAACTGCTGCAGCCAGTTTACCAAATGTGGCCATCACAACAGATTACATAAATCAAAGCAAATTTTTGGAATTAATCTCTGAGACAATTATGGATAATACATGGATGCAGAATTCTATTATTATCTAGAGCAGTGTTGAGCAGTGTCAAACCTGGCAACTTTAAGATGTGTGGGCTTCAACTCCCAGAATTCTGGGAATTGGCTGCAGCTGGGGAAGTTGGGGAGTTGAACTCCACACTTCTTATATTATGAAGAATATTGACTAGAGTAATTTGAATATAGGCTATGTATTTTGAAAATCAACACCCTGACATTTTCAAACATTAAATAACATACCGATAAATCTTTGAAAGGGTGAAGTAGAAGCCCCAAGGGTAGTTTGGCTTTATTCAGTAAGGCCTGTGTCTGAGGAATGTTAGTCAAGGTACACCGGAACAACCTATATGGAAAACCAAAGGATTAAAGAAGTACTAATTACATGTGTCAACCTTCCTGATCTCCAGTCAGTCATTACTTTTCTCTCTCTTATGTTTGAAGAAAGGGGACCACCCTATATCTTATGCAACATTCTGTTTAGGGAAAAAAAACCTATAACAAATGCAAAATTTTAATAGTTTGTAGGATTGTGCTATGGCACTATTTTTTTTCCTTTCCTAGCATTTTTTGCAAGTGCGGGGTCTCTCTTTCTTTTTTCTTTTGATCAACCAAATGCCAACCAATTTGGTTGTAACAGGAATTGACTGACTGGTTTGTCAGCCGAGCTTGACATCATGGGCTAAGTGTGTGAATGGTCCAAAGTCAGCTTTCATGCCTAAGGCAGAACTACAACTCACAGTCCCTTGGTTTGTAGCCCAGTGCTTTAATTGCTAAACCAAACTGATCTCCTGCTACAGTCATTTATTAACTTGTAAAGTAAGTAGATATCCTGACCAAATTACAAAGGGAACATTAGAAAGTAACACCACACTTTGAAAAATACACTTCTGGATCAATCTTTTATTTATACTATTTATTCACCACCACAATCCAAATTAGCCTTTGCATACTGTTGGTTTTTTTATATCTACAGTACAGCCTTAGATCTAACAGGGTATTTCTGAAGCTAGAATACAGATCCATATATAATTTGAGTATTCAAAAATGAACCCAAATCAAAAACAGAAACATATGAGGGGTAAAGCTGGCAATTGAGGAGGAAGAGATGGAGAAAATAGCAAAGTTGACCTCAGGTTTTCATTGCTTTGAGCAGAATGTTTTCTGAGAAAAAAAAATGAATCCAATGCTTAACTCTGATGAAGCCTTAATAAATTGCTAACCAAGCATTAGATTCTGTTCACAAAACGTAATCTAAGGGTTACTTGATGAATTAGATTCATGTGTATATTAAGCATACAAGTATGAATAATCTCTATAATATTTATGTTGATGGTCATAGTCACTTGGTTGGGCCATCCATAAATCTGTAGATTAAGGTGCTTACAATGTTTGCAATTTGGGGAAGAATACAGTTTATACAATATTTAGTTTTTTATTTTAAAAGAACAGTTACTATCAAGTATCAAAACAAGATTCCTTATATGGTTTTCACAATCTACTCTACTGAATGCATTAACCTTCAAATGCTTAAACATGTTTACATTTCTCAAAAGGTAAAGGTGCATTAGCAATATACTCAAATATAGAAAAAGTGCAGATAATCTTTTTTATCCAATATTCATTTTACTTCCTATTATAACAAACCACTAAAACCCATAGCCCAGTGAGTAAATTAATAAGAGCTTTATTTTGACTTAAGCAATTAATTCAATTCCAAAGTTGTGATGGTTGCAAGGCAATAATTTTTATGTATTCAGATAAAGCACAAAGCTTTTACTTATCAGCATTGTAGAAATTATCTTCTCAAACTCTTTGGGAAATTGTTCTGAAGCACTGCCTTGTGCAACTGACATTCCAGCAGAACATACCAACCAGCTGAAAAACACTGCTGTATGCAGACTTTAATTGCAGTGTAGTGGGATAATACAGCACAGATAGTTCTTGACTTACGATTGTAATGGAACCTGCCAATTCTTGTCAAATGTTGTGATTGTCGTAAATTGGGTCACTCACATAACCAATCTGATTTTTTGTGGTGGTTGTTAAGTGAATGTGGCAGTTGTAAAACGAATGCTGCAGTCATCAAGCAAACCCAAGTAACTTCCAGTTTTGGGCAAAAGGATAGACTTAACAGCTGAATTTAAGATTGGGTCCTATAAACTAAAATAAAAATTAGAAAATTGGCATGATCTCCTTTTTCAAATATGAGAGCAGGGAGAGATTGTAAAGAAGAAGTTATCAGTTATGTTTATAAGTGAACAGAAGAGATAGCAAAATGTATGGGCTTTATCTGGCTCTGTTGTGATGGGGTGTGCTAATTAAACTTGTATGTTGTTTAAATAATTTTCAGATAGATAAAGTTTTATATGATGGTTATGATATTGAGGTTTAAATTTGTATTCAGGTAGTCTTCAATTTAGTTACAATCTACCTGGAAAAAGGGAGTTATGACCTTGTTCCAAAGTTTTGGCAGTTTCTCCCCCACCCCACCCCCCGGTCACATGGTTGCACTTGGCAACACAGTTGCATTTACAATTGTTTGCAGCATCCTGTGGTCCTATGAATTGCATTATATGACAGTTTTAATAACTGGAACCTTCTTACAGAAAGTATTCAGGTACAACCATTTGTTATATATAGAAAGAACCATGTGAGCCTACATTTTTTCCTTTACATAGGATTAGTTGGAACCATCAAAAACAGATTAGATTTTTATTTACCAATTATATATTTTTTTAATAAGAATTGTATTTTTATCAAGAGTGATGGCAGACATCTAAGTAATGAGATAGGATATATACTGTAAATGTAATTAAAAAGTTAACATTACGGGTATCATCTTGTTGCTGTACTAAAATTACTTTCTCGGTTTGTTTTTGTTTAAATATACCAGAAAAAAATGTGGTATTTTAAAATACCCAGAAAGACACTAGAGAGAACGTTCAGAATAACAGAAATTGAAGATTTTTTTTTTTTTACAAGCAGCATTAATTAACCTTACTCGGGATTGCAGTTGAGCTTCTGAATATCTTGATGCAAATTGGGAATGGGTGCTTGCAAGGGGGTTGCAGGAAGAATATTTCTGTCTTGAAGAAGGTTGATAGGTCTTAATCCTTCAGGCTGAAGACTTAGTCCACCCATAGATGCAGCTAAGGTATTTGCTCCCAAGCCAGGCTGCACCTAAAAACAAAAATTAAATTTAACTTTTATGAAACACATTTAAATCCATGCATAGACACCATAGAGGATGGTGGGGTTAATATTAGATGTAAATACATAATTCATAAAGCACTTATAGTAGTTTATTTACAGGTCGTCCTCAATTACAACCATTTGTTTAGTGACTATTCAAAGTTACAATGGCACTGAAAAGTGTCTTATGACCAGCTTTCACACTTAATGACTGTTGCAGCATCCCCAGGCATGTGATCAAAATTGGGACACTTGGCAACTGGCATCTATTTATGACGGTTGCAATGTCCTCAGATCATGTGATCATCATTTGTAACTTCCCAGTTGGCTTCCAACAAGCAAAGTCAATGGAGGAAGCCAAATTCACTTAATGACCAGATGATTCACTGAACTGCAGTGATTTGCTGCCTTAACAACTATAGCAAAAGGATTGTAAAATGGGACAAAATTCACTTAACAACTCTCTTGCTTAGCAACAGAAATTTTGGGCTCAATTGTGGTCATAAATTGAGGATTACTTTATTTTATTATAAACTATCTTACCATCCTATTAGTACTCAAAACTAATCTAGATATAAAAGTCCATATTTATTTTTTAATATATTCCAGTAATATTAGTTATTTGCATTTATATCATGTTTTCCTTGTGCAAGCATGCACGGGAAAACTTCATTTTATCTGAATAATAATGTAAGTAGGCTGAGTAGAGTTCAAAATTATCCACTTATCTAGAATTATCCATTGATAATTCCAGGCCAAGTCCAACATCTTAAATACTGCAATAGCACTAAATTAAAAAATAAAGTTTACTGAACTATGCAGTCTTATTATGTAGACAACACTGATTATTAAAAAGATTGAAAGAAGCAATGAAGGCTAATGTTTAGATGAAGTGCATTTTTTCAATTTCATAATGAATTATTAATAACTAAGGAGAGCATTGCAAGAGGGATGAGATAATTTTGAAATAGCTAGGAAAATCTAGCCAATTATAAATGTATCTATAAAGCACAAACTTGAATGAGAGGGTGGAGCTCACTTGAGTGGGAAAATATTACACCTGATGCTTAACTCAAATTGGAAGTGTATCTCCCTTTACACAACAGCAGAAAATATTTAGCAATAGTAGTTTAATACTGCTGAGCTAGTCTTACTCATCAACTTAGTTGGTTTTAACATGTTTCTCCCTAGAATTGAAAAAAAAAAAGACAAAGGATAGAAATGTAACAGAGAAACTTTTAATATAACATAGGAAAATTAAAACAGTTCTTTTTCATATAAAACACAATCTTTTTGTAAACCAGCCAGTTCTAATCTAGCTATAACTAGGAACTGATTACTCAGAGAATGAGAAATATCATGTAGGCAAACAGCGCCAACCCCTTGTTGTAGGTAGGATTCAGAATATCAGAATATCCCTGATGACTGCCTAGCCTCTGCTTGAGCACATCTAATGAAGAGGAGTCCACCAATTCTGGATAACTATTGTTACTGTTAGGATATTTTTTTCAAATATTCAATTTGAATTTACATTTTCATAACTTTATACATAACTTCCAAAACATTACATTATATGTGATAACAAGCATATCCTTCTAAAGCAGGGGTGACCACAAGGGAGCCCAAAATTTCTGTTGTTAAAGCAAGACAGTTAAGTGAGTTTTGCCCCATTTTACAATCTTTCTTGCCATAGTTGTTAGGTGAATCACTACAGCTGTTAAATTAGTAACCTGGTAGTTAAATGAATCTGGATTCTCCATTGACTTTGCTTGTCAGAAGATTGCAAAAGGTGATCACAGGACCTCAGGACACTCAACCATTATAAATATGATTCAGTTGTAAGCATTTGAATTGTGGTCACATGACCATGGGGATGCTGCAACAGTCATAAGTGTAAAAAATGGTCCTAAATTACATTCTTCTTTACCACTGCAACTTCAAACACTCACTAAATGAACTGTTGTAAGTTGAGAAGTACCTGTTTATACTTCTTGGAGGAAACTGAGAATCTCCACAGACTTTCCCTCCATACTATATCTAATTATTGCTGTGCTCTTTCATTGAACCAAATGCCTATATGTTCAGAAATCTTACCCTTAGGCTGGCCAGGGTGCGATTAAATGGAGTCAGCGTAAAGCCAACCATGTCTTCATATAACAACCTAAATTTAGGGAAGCTGCAATTCATGTTTATAATTTTTAATTTGCATAACCATTTAATAAGAAATCTAGTGTATTCTTCACCTCTAAATTATTCCTCAGGAACCATTAATTTAAACCTTTTAACATTTTGTTTATATATGTTTCAAAAGCAAACTTCCACTTATACAATTTAAATATCTTTTCTCTCTTCTCTCTATCTATATAAGATAAATGGTAGACATATTGGCCACCAGGAAAAGGGTGACCGATTGCTAGTTCTACCCATTCCACTATTAAAAAGACTTTCTGGATACAAGTCTATGTATCCATGTCTTGTCTACTGTCTTTCTTGTCTACGAAATGCAAAATATAGAAGTAAGAACTTCTATATTTCATTGTAGCACTAAAAACAAGATTTGAATAGTTGAATTCTATTTTTTTTTAAATTTGGATCTACCACCTCAAAAGGCATTTTATCAACATAAAAAATGTGATTAATTCCCCCCCCCCCAAAAAAAATTGAGCTCTTTAATTATGGAAGAACAACTTCTACAAGGTCAACAAAGCCTTTGTGGAACCTAGAAATAACATATGAGTAAAATTGGAAAGGATTTACCTGAGGGAATTGCTGAGGTCCTCCTGGATACTGCATTCTTGGTCCTCCAGGTGGTGAAGCGTTTTGGTAGCCTGGGGGCAAGCTGGGATAAGCAGTCCCAACATGTTTGTTCACTTTAGTATTTTGAGGAGCAGGATTATGTGTTGCTGAAAGAGTAAATACACCGAATGGTAAATGATAAGATTTTTTTAAACCATTTTTAGTGATTAAATACTGTATATCAAAGTATATCACAGTATACAGTATACCCAGTAAACATATCATGCTATGTTATATAGTATTACTTTACAGACAAGTAAATGTGGTGTGTTTTTAAAAATAATTTTAAAACTTAAATACTTTCAAAAAAACTAATATCATTCAAAGTAAAACCACAAACATAACATCTAATTTTAGTTCCCCCTCTCCCGCCCCTGGCAGGAGTATTGCTAACTTAAATCATCACAGTCAATTGGTTGCCTGAATAAAGCCTCAGTTAAGAACTCCAAAGATCTGCTTTGAAGATCCTAAGCATGCTCAGTTTTCACACTAATAAATACATTTATGTCACCATATTCTTTTTTTGTTTTCATTAAACATTGTGCCTTTTCTAGTCACAGCTTTTGAATGGGTTTAAGTTATGAATGAATCCTCACGTTTGAACAAAAATCTAATTATTATACTGTAATATTTATTTATAGGTCTGACATGTGGCACCAATCCAGAAGAACTCTGAATGGCTTATACTGCTCTCTTTCAGTAAAAAAAAAAAGATTAAAAAGAGAAACAAAAACAAAGCAAAACAATGAGCAACTGCAGCTGAAATTTCAAAATGTTTCATATCTGAGGAACATTATGGTTGTTTAATACAGTTAAGCAAAAGAGCTACATATTCCTTATACTGTTTACTTCTATCAGAACAGGCACTCACCAATATTAAACCAATATTGGTATACAAACAGCACTGGACAGTGTTATGTTTATCTTATCTGTTCTCAAATACAATAGTTTGAGGACAATCTACCTGTGCTACTCTCAGTGCTATCACTGGTGACTATCATATCAGAGTTAGCTAAAAGTAGTGTTCCAGGGAAGACTTGGTATAGTATTCATAACTTTAAAAATAAATTCTATCACACAGAAACAGGAATAGCTCATTGTAACAAAAACCAGATTACAGCAAGAAGCAGTTGTTGAAAAAAAAATAATGATTTTATTCAATTAACTTTCCCTTTCACATGATTAAGAACAGATACTTGAGTAACATATAGGTAGTCATTCCCAACAGTAATTGGGACTGGGAACTCCAATGCTAAGTAAGAGACAAGATCATGTGATTGCACTGACTTACGATAGCAATTCCGGCAGTCCCAAATGCCATTGAATCCTGTCTGGTTGCAGCATTCCATGGTCACTTCGCCATTTGTGATCTCCTATTAACTTTCCCATTGACTTTGCTTGTCAGAAGCCAGCAGCAAAGGTTGCAAACAATGATCATATGACCACAGGCCACTAGGATGTTATAATTACAAGACAGCTGCCAAGCAACCAAGCTACAATCACACGACCATGATGTCTAATAAAACACATTATTACACTATCTGGAGGACCACATCAAAAACTGCTAATGGAAATTTGGGAACAATATCATGAAGAAATAGATGGAACTATCAGGGCCAAACACTATTTCCAGTTATTTCTTTTTGCATTGTTCTCAATAACAGCTAGGCTGATCCTTAACTTGAGATTTCAGATACAAGATACTTTTTTTTTTGCTAGGACTTCACCTGTATTTTATGGTCAAAGTTCAATGTTTTTTGAAGTAATCCAGCCAATGCTCAAATCTGCAGATTCGCTAGCATCGTATCTTTTGCACATGGATTAGTTTTCTTTTGTACATTATTCTGGAAAGTGTTGGCATTGCTTTTAATCTAGGAATGCTAGTAACATGTTTTCAAAGTTTCATAAGAATTCTAAGTTGAATCACAGAGTGTTCAAGCATGTAGTTCACCAATAAGCAGAAAAATGGTGGTTAGAAATACTGTATGTTTCGGAGTATAAGACACACCTTTTCCCCCCTAAAAGGGGATGAAAATTTACCCTCTTCGGGTAAATTTCGGTGCGTCTTATACACCGAATGTAGCCCCGCCCACCCACTGGCCCCCACCCTTTGGCCTCTGCCTCCCAGCAGTTTACCTCCTTGCAGCAAGCATCAAGAAGAAACAGCTTGTTTCAGCTTCAGCACAGCCTAATTAGCACAAGTTGATTGGATCGGCCTCCCGACTCTCAGCTGTTTTACTCTCAGCTGTTTTGAGCAGGCCTCTGCTGCTTGCTGCAAGGAGGTAAATTGCTGGGAGCAGATTTTTTTTTCTTGTGCTAATCAAGCTATGCTGAAAACGAAAATGAAAATAAAGCAAAATTGCTGGGAGACAGAGGCAGATTTCTTTTTCTTGTTTTCCTCACCAAAAAAGGTAGGTGCGTCTTATAGTCCGGAGCATCTTATACTCCAAAAAATACAGTAGACAAAATAAATTTTAACCACACATTAAAAATAGACTTCTTAGGTAACTTGGACTTGGGGTAACTACTGCATATGTTTAGGAAGAGCGCAGCAAACTGGATCTGATATTCACAAAACAAAGAGAAAGCTGAACACTATGTCCTGCAGTGTGATGCAAGCTTAAACCTGGAGCCAGAAAGTGGAAAGTAAATAAAAACAGCAGCTAATACAATTGCAAAATCATATGAATCCAAATTTCCATACCAGCAATGGCATTTCAACAACACTATGGAACTTTGGACCTTTTGGGGGCCTGATGTTTTGAACACTGAAACTGAGGAGAAATGTATATAAAACCATGCAGTATGAATGCTTTATAGTCTCAAATCTACAATAAACAAGACTGGTTTGCGCTGCTTCTTTGTTCCAAATAACAGACCTTCAAACATGGATAAATGTTGTTACAGAAGGTCAGCAAGGAGACAGTTTGCCGCCACTTTGTATAAACACAAATGAATTGCAAAAGTTGTTATAAAAGGCATGTCATGTTGTCCAAGATTGGTGGAAGAACCAATTCAAAGACGACATGACTTACTTTCACTTTTCCCAGATTAGTTCTTCAGCCCCTCAATGCCCAAAGCTTGAGTGTATCAGAATCAGCTGCTGAAAGTATCACCTGAGCATGTTGAAAATTTTCTAACTCTTGACAATGAATCCAGCCATTTGTTAGAAAAAATATCAAGCACAAAAGATTGGAGAATTTAAGTACACTTTATTGCCCTGTAACACAATATTAACCAGCCAGCCTGTGAACAAGTGGATCATTCTTGCAACCAAAGACGGTGAGGGTTGTGGTAGTAGATGAATGAAATAAAGTTCATAAAATGGGGCAAAATTCAATAACTGTCTCATTTAGTAACAGAAATTTGGGGCTCAATCATGGACCTAGGATGAAGACTACCTTTTAATGTCTTTCATTGAGTTCTTGTCAGATCATGAAACTGCTTTTCAGGAGATAATTCAGAAATAGCATGCTTCTAAGATCCAATTAAAATTAAACACTTTTTTTTTTCAAACAACAGTTGCTAAGTGGCTTCCTCCTGTATCAAATGTTACTGGCCATTTCTCCTGTTCTGTAATTAAGGCAAAATTGATTTTGATAGACTTTTAAGTCACAGAGTTATACATAATTTACAAATATATGTTCAATTTTCAATTCCAGAAAGTACATTTCCTCTATACCAAAATAGCTCATATTTGTGTTGTGTGGCTGTTTTGAAACAGTATATGGGCAGGCACAATAGAAACAATTAATTCCCCATTTAATTTACTTTTGAGCAATGGAAATGGAAGAAAAACTATCTTACCCAGGAAACCACCTCCTTCTATTGCATCGTAATTGTTCGGAATTGATAGTACATCATTAGGAGGGCATGTAGTATCACCTATTAACAAAATAATCTGTTAGAAATATGTAACACTGATCACAGCTGATATAATGTAGATTGTAAATCATGATTTATGGCTTAGCGTTATAGAATAGAACAGAACAGAATTCTTTATTGGCCAAGTGTGATTGGACACACAAGGAATCTGTCTTGGTGCATACGCTCTTGGAGTATATGAAGAAAAGATACATTCATCAAGAATTATAAGGTACAACACTTAATGATAGTCATAGGAAAACAGTCAATATAAATCTTAAGGATACCAGCAACAAGGTTACAGTCATAACTGAGAGGAGATGGGTGATAGGAGCAATGAGAAGATTAATAGTAATGCAGACTTAGTAACTAGTTTGACAGTGTTGAGGGAATTATTTGTTTAGCAGAGTGATGGCGTTCGGGAAAAAACTGTTCTTGTGTCTAGTTGTTCTGGTATGCAGTGCTCTAGAGCGTCGTGTGTATGTGTATACACACATATATATACACACACACATATCTACACCAAAAAAGGCACCAGTTCTTATTTTCGGGGGATGTCATCCACTGACTCACCTCACTTGTATGCATTGCCCCGGGCTTCCTTTTCTCTGTCAGAGGCCTTCAGGAACTTTTTCTGCAGCCGACAAGGTTTTCCTGAAGGCCTCTGCAGCTGATAACAGAGCTCCAGATCGATCCGGAGCTCTGTTATTGGCTGCAGAGGCCTTCAGGAAAGCCTTGCCAGCTGCAGAAGAAATGGGCCGGCAAGGCAGGTGTCGGGGTGTGCGAGGCCTGGCTGCAACTGTCCAAAGGTAAGTAGTAGGGCAACTCCACCACCCCACCATACCCATTCTAGCTTAATTTTTGCCCATGGGCGGGTCTTAATTAGGGCTTATTTTGGGGGTATGGCTCATATTGGGCGCATGTGTAAAAATTAAGCTAGGACTTATTTTCGAGATAGTTCTATTTTCGGGGAAAAATGGCATTTATTTCTTTTCAGCTGTTAAGAGGTTTCCTTTTCTCCTAAATAAAGTATCACCACTGGAATGCACATGCAATCATATTCAATTACTCCTACATAATTCAGCTCATATAATTCATATTTTTGCTCCTAACTGTCTGAAAGCAACTTCCTCTAATAACCACATTAATGCTTACCTTCTTGCATACCTGCTGAGTTCTGTACAGCCTGGGATGCAGTGTTTGCTGGGGGAGGAGCTAATGGGGGAGCAGAGGGATGTGTATAAACTGGACTTCCAACAGCAGAAGTTCCTAAAGGAGGTTGAACTGGCAAATAAATTAACTGATTAGCTGGCAGTGGAACAGTACCTACAAGAACCAGCAGAACTTATACCTAACACAGTTTCTCAATGAATTTATTTTCATAAAGAATTTGTTCATTTCTTAGTTAGCACAATAGCAATAACACTTAGATTTATATACCGTTTCACAGTGCTTTATAGCCCTCTATAAGTGGTTTACAGAGTCAACATATTGCCCCCAACAATCTGGCTCCTCATTTTACTGACCTCGGAAGGATGAAAGGCTGAGTTAACATTGAGCCTGGCGAGATTCGAACTGCCAAATTGCAGGCAGCCGGCTGTCAGCAGAAGTAGCCTGCAGTACTACACTCTAACACTGTGCCACAGGGGTGGCCCCTTTACGACCTATGGGCTTCCAGAATTCCTGAGCCAGCCAATGTGTTGAAGTCCACAGATTGTAAAGGGGCCATAGCTGCCCACCCCTTCTTACAGTTTAGTGCTAGATATAAATCAAATCATTATTGCAGATTTGAAAAAAAAAAAACCTACAGTAATTTAAGTTTAATGTTATACATAAGCAAAATCACAGATCTTACCCAATGCAATTATCCCATGAGAAATTGTTGACAAAGACCAAACATATTGCTACAGAATCATAGTGTGTGTTTCTACTTAAATACTACAACATAGTGACTCACATACAGTTGTTCT